CCACTCCAGGCACGGCCAGCGCAGCCCTGGAGACCGACACTCACTCCATCTTGGCCTCCAGGCGATGGATGGTCTGCTTGTCCAGGTAGCGGCAGAACAAAGAGAGGAGGTTGCTGGGGAGGACTAGGGGCTCCACCAGGGCGGTCTTGGGCACTTGGGACAGCTCCTTGGCAACCAGGAACACCGTGTCCGTCCTGGGGAGGCAAGCCCACCCGTGAGCCCCGGGCCAGCCGACACGGCCTGCTGCACAGGCACCCTCCAGGCCGCCCCCCGCCGCCTCACCACTTCTCAAAGTCCCCGCTGTGCGGCTCCAGCGGCGCGTCCGAGGAGAGGAGCCTCTCGCCGTGACTCAGCAGGGCGTACAGGAGCGAGATCCCGAACTGCGGGGAAGCGCCCTGGCTTAGACGTGGCCCAGGGGGAGTGTGCCCCTTGGAGGGCTCAGATCCCACCCGGGCAGCACTGAGCTCGCCAGCTTCCCCTCCTGGGGCCCTTCCTGCCCCACACAGCCCCACGCACCTGGTTCTTAAAGGTCATGGTGAGCGGCAGGGGGGTGGAGCCAGCCAGCGGCCTGGTCAGCTCCTGCAGGACCTCGATGAGCTTGCTGAAGGTCATCCGGCCCACCATCTCACTGAGGGGGCCGTACAGGACCGGAAGGGACTAAGCACCAGTGGGGAAGGAGTGGAGACGGGGGTTAGAGCCAGGCCCCCCGCCCTGACACCACACGACAGGCTCCCTGCCCCCTCCCAGTCCCAGAAGCAGGGGCACAGACCCAGCAGCCAGCACGGGCAGAGGAGCGGTCCCACCCCAGACAGGTGAGCTCATGCAGGCTGCAGACTAGACAGCAGCCCGACTAGGCCTAACCCCCGCAGCGCAGGCTGCACACACCTGCTAAGCTCCCCCAGCACCCGGGGCCACCAGAAAGACCCCTCTGACCTCGAGGGCCCAGCTGGGATGGGACAGGCCAATTCCCGGCTCCCCAGGGGAGGCAAAGTGGGGCCCCACCCCAGGGCTGGCCTCTCCCCGACCCCTGCAGGCCACTACCTCGTCCAGCGTGTCCTTCCGCATGAGGAAAGGCAGGTGGTGGGTGATGGTGACCAGGATCTCCTCCGCCTGCTCCCGCGTCAGGTGCGGCAGCAACCGTGCCGTCAACTTCTTCCCCTTCCGCACACACAGGATCTGCAGGAACTCGTCCTCTGCCTCCCTGTGTGAGAGCCCTGAGCTGCCCAGGCCGGCGGGGCCAGCCCCCCTTCCACTGGCAGTGGGGAGCCCCCAGCGGGGGGGCCCTGGCCCCCAGCGGGGGCGTTCAACAGGATCCACCTGGCCTGGGTGAGGGGAAGAGACGGCGCAAGGCCCCAGTGTCCAGGTGGGACCTGGCCTCGCCCAGTGGTTGAGGTGACTCAGATGGATGGGAGCACTGTTTGCAGGCAGGAATGTTTCTGCTCCCCAAACTCACCGGTGCTGGGAGCTGCATTTGGCCCCAGAGATCTGGGGTTCTAACAGCGTCTCCATGGGTGAGGCCTGAGCTGCGCCATGGGACTGCTACCTGCCACCCTCCCCAGATGGCCCCGGGACCAGCCGTGTGCCGGAATGGTGCACAGATGCACACCAGCAAACTCACTCCTCACTGTCGCATGCCCTGATCTTCAGAGCCTGGTAGATGCGCCCCACTTCATGGCTCTTCTTATCCCGGAAACGGGGGTGCTGCTCCTCGGGTAGCAGGCTCATCTTCCGCTGCGTCTCCTCCACTTCCAGCAGCTGCAGGAACATCTGGGGATGCAGGAGAGAAACTAGCAGGTGGGCCAGCGAAGGAACAGTGGGATCTGAGCCCCACACCCACCTTCCTCTCTGGAAGGACAGTGGCCTGCACCCTACACTCCTCCCCCAGCACCCCGCCTAGGAGCCTGGCCCAGCCACAAGTGGCTGGAGCATCCCAAGAGATCCCAGCCAGAGATGGTGCACCAGTGACTGCCCATCGGGGTGGGGAGGGATCTGGGGCCCTCCGGGATCTCACTCCACCCTCACTCAGCCACCTGGATCTCCTGGGCCCGAGCAGCCAGACATGCCGAGTTCCGGGCCAGGCAGGGTTTGCGGACGGTGGGGAGAACAGAGATCCAGCTTCTAACCAACCTCCTCCCCTCCCGCTGCTGTTCCCCTGCCCAGCATTGGGAGGGGAAACCTCTTGCCCTGAAGCCATGGCGCTGCCCAAGGCCCCTCTCACCTTCTCGATCCTGTGCAGAGCCCGAAGTCGCTGGTTCCCCGCAGCCTTCGGACCGGGGGAGAAGGGAAGACAAGTTACAGCCGCTGCAAGACACAGCTGCCTCCCGGCCACAGTGCCCAAGCCACGGCAGGCTTGATCGGGTGATGGCGGCTGGGCCCGGGGCAGCCCACAGGGGGCGCACGTCCAAGGGCCCTGTCAAGTCCAGGAGCTGACCCCAGTGGCCTCCACCTGACCCGGCTACTTGCCCATCCCCAGCGCAATGCTCATCTCGCCAGGGCCAGAGCCGGGGGGCTGGAGCCTCACGGAGCAGCTACAGATGGGGGTGTGGGTCCCAGTACCCCCGTGAAGGCAGCTGAGAAAGCGCCTAGTCAGCGGGTGCAGCAGGGCCCAGGCAGGCTCAGGGGAGCATGGCAGCCCCGTACCTACCTCCTCCTGCAGAGCGTGGTGCACCCCAGCGCAATGCTCATCTCGCCAGGGCCAGAGCCGGGGGGCTGGAGCCTCACGGAGCAGCTACAGATGGGGGTGTGGGTCCCAGTACCCCCGTGAAGGCAGCTGAGAAAGCGCCTAGTCAGCGGGTGCAGCAGGGCCCAGGCAGGCTCAGGGGAGCATGGCAGCCCCGTACCTACCTCCTCCTGCAGAGCGTGGTGCACCGCGTCGATGGCCCGGCGGGGGCTGTAGCATGTGGACACGGCCACC